AAGATGCATTATCTAAATACCTCTTAGCTTTGTAACGATCATAGGTCCACTGCATATGAATTCCGTCATTTTTTTTATACACGCTTGCTTAACCAGTTACTTGACTCGGTCTTGTACTGGTACAAAACATAATTTATTACTAGAACCTAGAACTGGGATATTATACGATACATTAATAAAACAATGCACCTGGTCTTAAGGTAGTCTTGCCCTCGGTCGAGATCTGCCCGTAGTTGTGTACTCGTAATCTAGGTCTAATTATCGTAAATATCAATTGGATTCAAGACTGTTAGTAGCTATACTTTTGCTCTGAGTAATCGCATACATCTATTTCTAGCAATTTCCTTGGATGTGACTATGCAATATATCTAAAAATGGATCTTCCCCAAAATTTGGAACACCCGAAAAATTTCCAGGAAACGATTTTGAAGCCTTTTCTGATTATTATATACCTTCAGAACTCGACAAATCGAGTTAGTATATTTCGTCATAGCAAACTTCCTAAAATAGGAAGGCAGAATACCCTGCCGTGGATAGAATTTATCGTCGTTGGCCATCCGCTGCCCGCGCGTCGCTGCTTCCGAGCGAGTTTCTCAGCGAAATCATTTTGAGTTTCCAAATTACATTAGGTGCTAAGTCACCTCTGCAGCGCTAACGACATTTTAGTTCTAACAGCAACCCACTGTCCACGACGCTACGCCAACTTAAGGCATAACTTCAATCAAGAAGGCGTAAAATCGGATAAAATCAGAAGGGAGACAACGGTCGCCATGGTTGAAATTCCCCGACGGAAACATACATCTATACTATTTGTGTAAAATAAAGGGTCTTTTGTACTTGTTTTATTTAGCTGGGTTGATATCAACCCAAACTATTTTGTTATGTCACTTCAGTGAACCCGTCAAAGAATATTCCCTTACCTTTTTAATTAATAAAGTTTGGTAGCGATAATCATACTAGGGAAAATGGACTGTTTTTTTTCTCGTACTTAGTCACCTGAATGACTCGAGTCCACCTTTCGATGCAGATAGACAAAGAAGATAATATTCTATATTAAACATATTGACTCTAATAAAGGCAAAAAAAAAAAGACAATTTAGCGGGTAAATTACTATCGATCGACCGTATTTTTAGTTGGATTCCCAATAGCTATTAAGTCCACATTTTGTTGATGCGTTTTCTATCATTGGTTTGTTTAACATTAATATTCAAACATGCAAGATCGGAACAGGAAATAAACTCTTGAAAATAGCATTATTCATTTTCTTACGGTGTCTCTGGGATCTGGTACAAGTTTTTTAGTGCGGATTTTTTAGTCAGACCTCTTTATTTTTCCTATTTGTACTATTTAGACAGTCAGTTACTTTGCAAATGTGTCTACTGAGAAATTCTGTTTTGTAGGCATAAATATGGAGTATCATGTACTTTAATTTTTACTGACTCTATTTATTCAATAAACGATAGACAGAAAATGATATTATACGTTTCACGAGGTACGTAACAAGACAATCTGTATAATAGTAACTAAAATACGTAACACTTTTAAAAGTGTAGAAAAAAATTTTCTTAAAGACATTCTATATACGTTCAGTAAAAATGGCAATTTATATCAAGTTAAATCATCCCAAAACACAGATGTTCTCAATACCAACCGAGTCCATATGATCATAGCAAGTAGCGTTTTCATCGTGCAGGGGTACAGCAGGCCATAACTCAGAATGTACTACCGTATATTATACTTGGATGCAACGTCTTTTGCGTAACCGGCGAAGGCCTCTTGCAATACATATAGCCGTTACCATCCCTATGCATTTGACGAACGATAGTCGTTACGTGGCGACTGCCAACATGTCAAGTTTTGTATTTTATTTATTTTTTCTATATATTTTCTCAAATCGGACTCATCCATGAATAAGAACAGGCACATTCTGATCACACTGCTGCTATATCAGTGATCGCAATCACACGTAGGAGCACCGTTTGGCTTGAGCCTTGTGCACAAGATGTCTGAGCGAGTGATTTCTGCGAGTAAATTTCACATTTTCATTATTGTCACTTCGTTCATATTAACTGTTTTTCCGATAAACTAGAGGTAGGGGAAGCTGAATTTTATAAGTTTAAACGAAACGAGAGTCGCATCTGTATATTTAAGGCAGTAAGTCAAAACAACTCGTACGCGTCTTTCGGCGCGTTTCAACATTAATGTCAAGAGAAAGTTAGTTAGTAAGGTGATCCGCACCTTCTTGAGGAATATAATTCAAGCTGAAATTCTGTTGTGGACGATATGTGTAACGAGAATATTTATAGCTGCAATTTTGCATGTAGACTTTTTTACTTGATTATACCCTTATTTAATTTATGTCGTTATCGAAGCTGTATAGCTATAATTAATAAAACAGTTCATGAAAAATTATAATGCAAGGCAGTACTTGCAGCTAGGATCAAAGCACTGCTGAAAAAAACCAAAATTTAATCAGTTTACCTTTTTATTATTAATCTTGTTTATATGGTTTAATGATAGACAATGTGCGCAACGTCTGTCTAGAATTTTACATCCAGCGCTGCGTAAGCATTGTATCTTTGTGTCTGTTTCTGAATTCGAATCCAAGATCCATATCCCATTTGTACCCCAAGTTTCAATCCTCTGCTACGACCGCAATGTCTTAAGGCTCCTTCAACGTTCCTTAATTATTTTATAAATGAAGGCTCCAAAATCGCGGCAGTTTTCGAAAGCCTCTCAAGTGCTTCGATTTAAAATAATCAACTATTAAATAACCGATAAACCTGTTTAAACCTCAACGGGTTTATCGGCCATAATGCATCGTATCGAAACCAAGAAAATCATCCCACGGCAATGAGTCTCTGTCCTGATGAAGCTTGTACCAAGTAACGAGCGACTTGTCGTCAAAGATGACGTCAACGAATATCCATACATCGAAAAGCGTCAACTGAAGTTCAAGCAAATTGTGCAACGATTCATGACTTTAGTCCTGTATGTCTTTTCTTTCAGTTTAATGGTTTAGCGTGCACTACGTGCGGTGTGATCTTCTGGCTCGAAGATGCGTAAGAAAATCCTTGCAGGTATATGTTTCACGTGTGAAGTTCTGATTTAAGCCGCATTCACTAATGAGGACTGATATAATCTCCTCTATGAAATCTTAACTTTCTCTCGAATAGTCACTGTCATTTAACCCAAGGCAGAAAACCATTACGCACACGATTTGAATTGGATTAAATAAACCGTACGATTTTTACATCACTCTCCTTTTAGGCTGGAGCTAAACTTGAAGAATATCTGTAGGTAAACCTATAATGATAAGGTATACCTATAATGGTTTTTAAGGGGTGCATGAAACGACACAATGTACACAGCTATGATTCAGGTACGCGTATATCGGTTGGTACATCTAAAGTTTTACTTCTCGTCGATATTCCATATTCATGAGCGGGTCTTGTATGTCTTCTATCATAAATAGTATTTGGAGACCAATTATTGCAGATGGCCAATATGTGAGAAAGCAGAGAATCCTAATATGTGAACGTAGTAGATTTAAACATGAATATAACATATAATAGTTCAATTTACATTATGAATAGATATTGCAAGATATCCGTTCTGGACTAAAACTCCTGTGACGCTAATATACGTATCGAATGCCTCGTGAAGCGCTCGAGCTGATCACGTACGATTTATTATTACAACGCAAATACATTCAGTATCTTTTTTTTTTTTTTTGTTTTATCTTGCTTATAAACGGGAAGTGGCCGGAGACGCGAGGGTCTACTTCACATTTACTGCATCAAGAGAGTGTCTGTCATTCATCTGCCATTTGCACATTACCGACCAAAAACAATGGCTATTTCAAAAACGATTTGATTGTACTAATTAGAATTGTTGTTATTTGCTATTGATATTAATATTTCCCATGCTTCGGCACCATATTTGCTTGTATATATTCCTACAATTTCGATACGCCTAAAGCTAGTTGACGATATCTAGTATGGCAAAACTATCAGAATCACAGAAAAAAAATGCTAACCATTTGACCAAGTTACAAAATACTATAAGCGTTGCATATAACTATCGAGGTAAGTTGTTGCCATGTTAAAACCCGCTTCTACATATTTGCTAGATCCACTGTATTGCATTACTGACGGTTTTTTTTCATTAATTAATTAATTTGATTTAATGTTATGCGATGCATTGTGCTGTACAATATTTAGCTTTAGAGCGAATATCTACTATTCTCTCGAAGCTGTGCAGCAACCATAGTTTCTATTACCTACATAAAACGGGTGTTTCCAATGATGGTCCCTAATGGCTTAAAATCGATAGTAAAACTCCAACGCCGATAAAATTTTCTTGTGCATATTAACTATACTTAAAATTAGTTTTAATAATTGGTACGCTATGTATAAATGCGTTTTCCTTCTATTTGTTGATCCAAACTAACTGCTATCGGCGCCTAGCATTACAGGCATTAGAACAACTTACAAGCTACATTCGAACCATCCGGTGATGCACATGCTAGTTACCCCTAGGTCACATAAATGACATTCTCTTTCTGCCCTTGCCATTACTTGGGTATTAAAATGAATTTTGATTTCTGCTATACTTTCGATCATCAACGACTTATTGTACGAAAACGTCAAGCGTCGATTTGGTGAAGTCTCCCAAGTATCCTTGCTTTTTTTTTTACAATCCTCAACAAGGCATTTTTATCAACTCTATCAAGGTTCCACTCAGTCAAAATACATTGACGCATTAATAAATACTACATTGGAGCAAATCTACCATTAGCCAGCAAAGGGAGCTTTTTTTTTCCTTCTTTTATCAAAATGACCTTTCCATTACGCTAGCTAGGAACGCTTTCCACGATTCTCTTACATGCCTCTTAGTTCCGGCTAGCAAAGCCTATCGAAGCAATTAGCTTTCGTCTAGCAAAGCAATTGCAAGATAATTATTACAATCAAGATTACATGCTTTTAAGATTCAACAAACTTTCAATTAAATGTCAGCCGTTAGTTACGAGGGATAACTGTAAAGTTTGTAAGCAAGCACACCGCGAACTGTCTTACATCTCAAAGGATTGCTCGGGAACAAGATTCAGCAGTTCCCGAGGTAAGTGATGCAAGGCCCTCTTTAGCATTTTACAACATGAAAGATATTAATGGTAAATGCCCACCACCTCCTAAGTAAATCCAAATTATATCCTTTCGATGGAACTTTCCCAAATTTCACTTACGTCCGTATTTGCAACTTATGGTTAGCTTCTCCTGATTGGCTAATAGGTTAGGTAAGTATTTGTTCTTCAGATGTAGAACGACAAACCTGTACGTTATGTACAGCTGGCCAACGATAAATAAAAATATTTATTCATTACTACTGAAAATAGTAAATTGAGACAAACGCACTGTGTGCTAACAGAAAATTACTGATGAATATGCCCTGGTATGTAATAACATAATAGTACTGAAGGACAGTTGTTCCCAATCGTTGTACTAGTAGAGGCCTATTAAAAAAAAACGCGCCCTTTTTTCGCGTCCTAGTGTGACCCCACGAATCTGCAACTAAGCTACTATAATAAATCATAACTTCCTTGTTGTTGTTGTTGTTAAAAGCTGTAGTAATGGTCGAATGCCTGCTATATAATTCTATTCTATGCTATATAGTTGCAAAAAATAGAACAAAATAAAAACAATTAGGTGTTGAAATAAACAGCAATAATATCGTTACAGTAATTATGTGAAGCGTTATTATATTTTTGGCGTCCTATTATATTTTATTAGATCATTAGTGCAGATTCAAGTATAGCAAATACTTTCTTTGCTTCAATTTAACAACTTTGTTCGTCGAGTGAAGTTCAGTTATTGTTAGTATATTATTATAGTAGTATTATATTGAGTTAGTAACGACAGGTATTATTATTATTATTATGATTATGATTATTGTTATTGCCGTGCAGCTTCGTGATCCTCAAAGAACTTTTTTGCTACGAACAACTGGATATCTCCTAGATTTCTTATTTAATTATGTCCCTTGCACAATTAAATAATACAGCTTCGACGAAGAGCTTGCATTTGTAAAAGAAAAACGTATTTCAAAGTACCTGTATTTAACTGAACTACCTGAAAGTCCTTAAATAGTTCTACTGCGAAAAGATTTATAACAATCTTTACCCAATTCGCAACACATAACGTAACATTTGTTTTTTCGACTTTAAAAAAGCTGTGGCGTGGTGATACTGGGCTATGCTTGTGCTGTAAACTTAAGTTGACTTTATAACCGAAACCGAATGTAAGCGTCACGCGACAGTTGCTGTTGAAACTACGCCGTGTTATAAGTTTATAGGTTTTAAACTTACTCCATGTTGTCTGAATTGCAGATGTTGTCTTCGTTAGTGTAGCATTTGTATGAGTTTTTTTTGTTGACCAGCTGCAAGCTTGTTGACCTCAAATCGAGAGTGAAGAAATTTGGTAGCCTTTACCAAACTGCGAAGCAGTTCTTAGATGGTGTCATCTTGCGAGCTCGATGAAAACCTAATACCTCGATAAGTAACACATCGCTATCTTCTTGACCTGCGGATTCTCCCCCGTGGCCAATATGGAAGCGCTTTTTCGCCCGTTACAGGTCTACCGCACGTTTTAACGCTTAACATATTTATGACCGCTATGGCAACTTCAGCTTCTGGTTTTCTAATGCGCAACGAAACTTAATTCTTTAAACTTCAGTACTAAAGAGTGTTTAAAAGCTAATGATCTGAAAGATCAGCTATTCAATAGAGTCTTGCGATTATCTGATCCATGTGCCCAGTGCGACCTTGCTGAGCTCGCAGAATTGACCAGAGATGTTGCAGGAATATGGATTATCATACGATTATTATGTTATATACAAAGAAGGCCCTAAGTACTTTATGAAATCACGAGACTCACATTACCACAGCGTAAGCAAGCGATTTATGCCTACCACTCGCTGTATGTGAGTTTATACATAAGAAGAGACCACAAGAACAGAGTTTAACTATTTTAGTAAGTACATCATTGTAATATTTACATCTACTAAGGCGAAAGTTACAAATGGAATTTCATGATGGAGAAAAATAAAACACGCCAGACTAAAATAAACTCGACCCGATCGTATAGCCCACATTTCGCTTCGTACCATGGCCAGAGAAACACGTAACATCAACTCATATAATATTTCATAACCCCCAACCGCCATCTATAAACATGTTATAAGTACCAATCAAATTTTATCTCATGTCAGTGACGAATACGAGGCAGGGGTACCTTTGTGTTTCAAGAACATAATAATTTCGTATCGTTGAGATCGAACCAATCGCGACATCTATGTATCGCACCGAATTCGTAGTTATTAGGTATTTACAAATAATAAGCAAGCAAACCCGCAGTAGGCGCGATTGTTACAAGATATTTGTAATCAATTATACTTACAACAAGCACAAATTATGTATATGTGATCAAGGAAAGAAGTTTCATTTCAATATATTTCCCTCTGCTAGAAAAGAAACTTCATTCTAGTATCACACTTATTAATTTATTTTTAAAATTAGTTGTCGATTTCCTTTTATGTTATCCTTGATTGTTAACATCACGTGATCCTTATACCTGATGGTCGTGCTGTCAGAAATTCTGCTGTGCCTAAAATTAAAGGTGGTAAATATCCACAAACAATGATGCATGCATGATATTATTTATTATATTCGCACGAAGCGGATAATACTGCATTGCATTTACTGAAAACGATTTTCGGCTCGCCTTCGTTCGATGTTGCCACATGTGTACCTTCCTTTATAGAAGGCATAAGATCCGCGTTCAAATCAATTTAAATCGTTTGGATCTATGACCCCACTCTGCGTTCCACTAAAGTTTATGCTGGACTTATCGCCATCGACCTGTAAACCTAGAGAGCAGGAGTACCGATTGTAACATATCTACTCACTGCTTCATATCGATACTGTACTCAAACCTTAGCATAAACCCTAGGCCAATGATTGAAAGGCACTCTTAGGTAAAAAAAATTCTATTATTTTTTGTCGTTTTAATAACAGGCACTGTTCAGAAACAGCGTAGACTAGCGCATTTTCCACTAAAATCAGGTTTGTTTTAATAACATATAGGATCTAGTAAATGTATATAATTATGAGGAGGGGCGAACTTTGGATTGGACATGAGCAGCTAGCATTGAGCATCATGTGATTCGCTATTCTTATGTGTTCTCATTAGAACGAGCATTGATCACGGATGACTCCCACTGCCCAGGCGGAAGTTAAATGTGCAGAACCTATCATTTGTCTTCATTATGGAGTAGTCCAGGTAAGTTTAAAAGAGTATCGGAAAAGAATCAACTACGCCAATTTAGCATCATCATCGAAGTTTTCATTGTCCACCAAAAACCGCTCTCCACATAGACGTTTACCACACTGATACTGCTTACTCAGTATTTTTCTACCGGAACGAAACTTTCACACTCGTTACCTTTCCTGTTAGAAAAATTAAGAAGCGACTCGGCTAAGTAGCGTTCTAAACTATGTTCCGCAGATAATCTACATAAAAAGGTCCAGCATGCGAATCTAGTAAAATCTTGGCTTGTCCGTACACCTACGTATTCACTCCGACAAAATCGTAGAAAATAGCGAATCGCTCTGTGATAACAGGAGACCTTTGAGGCGAGTACGCGATAGCGTTGACAGAATTTTTTGGGATGTAACCTTATATGGACCTTATTATCCTTGACATGTCAAGAGTGCCAAAGTGAGCTTCTTTCCGTACTTTTATACTGCAGTCTATCCCTAGTTTTTTTTACATTTACAGTCGATGAATTATTTAGGTGGATATTCTTTTGCTTGGATTGGAGCTCTGGAAAAATAACTCATTGAGTAGAGTAAAACTGCAAGAATAAGTAAATATCCGATATAATCCGAGTATCTAATCAAAAATATGCTCAGGGCAAGTGTAAGGTAGTCTACACATTAATTATCGTTACTGAAGCCAGCACGTCTGCCTAGTAAATAATGTGTTAAGCGATTCATCATCTTCAGTACATAAGTAGTATGAATTTTAGAAGCTACGTAGAAAGGGATAATAATGCTGTGTAACCGTCGAAGCCAGTCGACTTCAATATCAGCCTTTTTGGGTCCAACATTGCATCCATAGTGTCAGTTCCTGACAAGCTCCTCATGGCATTTGTAGAGTTCGTTAGTGTACCACCCGATAGACAGATAAATAGGCAGAGGCGGTTGGTCTCCTCTAATGTCCGGTTGCAATATCGATATGTTTATGCAGAGACGCCATGTTTGTGGCGTGCAGATGGACCCTAATTGTCGATAAAAGTACAAACGGGTCAATGGAAGGCAATTTCTTTGGCTACCCAGATATTAACAGAAAAATTAACAGTAAATATATTTTATTAACTTACCTTATATGCATGTATGTACAGCTGGATTATATAGTGATGTCATGTATCCATCGTTACATACTCCTAACCGACTTGTATAGTCACAAGGATGTATAAACTGTATTAGTAAAAACCTAGTCGAGTAACAGTCGTTTGTTATATTCCTTATTTCAAGGATCCTGATGACTAATATTAAAACAATCAATGAGAAACATCATGGCATTGATTTATTGTCACTCGAATTAACTGACTGTGACTGTAGATACGCATAAAATTATTAAATCTAATATATAAACTATCAGTTCACCAATTAAATCGTATCTAACTTCTAACTACGTTAAATACTAACAAATTTTTGTGACATTGTTATCTGTTACTTATTTTATACGAAACCAAGCGTCCAAACAACGTTCCATAACTGACTCTGATTAACAATATGGGCTCCCTTGAACAGGGCCGGATGTCCATCCTGCGCTGTGCTAATCAATGCCTATAATATAAATACGACAAACTACCAAACAATTTGAAAGCGAAAGTTCATTACAGGTTGTTGGAAACCCAACGCTATCCTTATCTAGCTAGTTTGAATTTGAGAAATATTATTATTTTAGCCATGTCTCTTGGCTTGTCGTTTATAAGCAGTAAACTCCTGCCAAGTACCACAAACACTCGTGTTAAAACATTGGAGTTCTGCTACAGTTGTTCCCAGGTATGCAATACGGTTCGTTTCCTTTTATTTATTTATTTTCTTAAAATGTCTACGGCGTTGCGCCGATCAATAGTAGGATATCATCTTCATGTATAAGGTATTTATATTACTCTATAATTCAATAAAATTCTAGAATAATGTATCGTTTCCAGTTACCATTGGATCGGTATCATCCTAGGAACTACCCCAGCTTATTTTTTGCTTACTTTTGAGCTTGACTTGTTGACCAGATTTGCGCCGCTAGGTTATAAAACCTGCCTCGACTCCTTGTCTCTACTTGCTATCTGGGTCATCAGTTGGACGGTAAATGTTTTAGTTGTGCATGAGCTAGTGAAACAACCGGCCAACTTTTCAATAACTATCGACTGATTTCGATCAGAAAGAATGCATTTCATCATGCCATTAGCTACGCTCAGGTAAAAGAACGCTCCCTGAATTTAGTATGCTAATACCAAACAAAACTCTCCTAGCGGAGGCGTTTCGCGCTTTTCGAGACCTCGCCAAAATCCGATTTAAATTTGGCGGTATTACGATTCACCTTCCCCCGATTGGTGGAAAGAACGAAAATGGCGACTCTCATTGGCAGATACCGTCGATGCAAAACGGACAGGTAACAACCGAACAGAGAATTTGCAGAAGCAAAACACGAGTTTGTACATGTTACACAACGACAGCGTATCCATATCCCATCTTTGTTCATGTGATATCAATGCTAATGAAAATCAGCGTCGCCAGTGGTGCAAATCAATCGCTTAACTATGTAAGTAAACTTTATTGTTGAATATATCTCGTGTACCCTACGATATTCAAGCAGCAGAAGGAATGGTGGTGGCCTTCAGGACGGAAATTTAGGCTAATGCCAATGTTTATATTAGTATAACCTTAGACGAAACCTTTTAAAATTATCACTTGCAACCACGTGCAATCGTTATTGCGCTTTCATCTACAGTTTCAAGAGCAGATGTCGTATAACAAAACAAAAAATCATAATAACTAATCTTAGGGTTTGTTAAAGCTCCAAAAAAGTTAATCAATGGGCAAAAGTCATAGGATTCTCAACAAACTTTACAATACGACGATACTAAAATGTGATAAATGAAAGCCGCAAAATTCTAAAACAGGAATATTTGGGACAAATTCCGTGTTGTCCACGATGGGGATAATGGGTCTGGCGATAGATTGAATTTAAGTACGACTATGTCATACGCCTATTGTCACGATATTTCCTATCGCTTTTATTGAATATCAAGAGCCACGTTAATGTAAACTGACCACTTTTGGACCATATATATTAAATTTCACTTTCAAATTAGGACAAGCCACTCGATAATCAATCGGCTTCAATTGTCGGTATGGTAATGACGCAGATATCGTCGACCAATTAGAGAAGATACTTAAAAAAACACCTTATATTACGAAAAAATCTTAACATACAATAGCAAAATGATAATACAATTCGTACAGAAATGGAAAAATTAGCGCATATAAATTCGTTTCAAGGCTCGTAATCTATCTCGTATTCTTTTGCATCTTTTTCTCGCTCTAACTACACCTGTAAATTGTACGTGGAATAATCACGGCTCGCTTTTTAGTATTCGTACGTTTTTATATACGAAATTGTTCCTCTGTTCATATCATTAAGCACTTGTACTATTTGTGCGTCTAATGTTGTTTTTGTGTACTACTTGCCATCTTGGCTGTCGTGTTCTGCTGATGCAGCATCTCACGTGGCGCCTTCCGGAATGAACAGTATCGAGGTTAATTGCAACGAATTGAAGCGGAGGTACGACGACTGTTTCAACCACTGGTTTAGCGAGAGCTTTCTTAAGGGCCGTACCGATGACCCGTGCAGGGTTTTGTTTCAACAATATCAGACCTGTCTCCGAAAAGCAGTAAACGATCAGAAGATCCCACTCTGGGAAATCGAGGCAGACATTCTTGGTAGGTTTTCGTGAAATCTGCCGGATTAAATTGCGCGTCCGCGATTTGTACCAATAGATGAAGCACTGCCTCGTATCAAAACGGCTGGCCATAGTTGGTAGCGGGTATATTATTTTATGTTTGTACTTATGGTATGTACTTATGTTACATTCTTACATGTATTAAAAATAAAAAAATAATGGATATGCTTCAATAAGTCGTACTTTGTTGTCAATCAGTTGTAGATTATATATAAACTCAACTACAAATCTGCTGTGTATAGCAAATTTTTATAGATTCAAGAAGAAATGCTGCCTATTTTTCGACCCGTTTGAAGCTAAAGAAGAGTTTGCTGAAGGTTTTTCATTTATTAGGTAGCAGGTTGTGTTTAATAGTTTTTGTGATATTCTAGGCGAGAAAGAAAAGGATTGTCAACTATTTTATCTAGATAGTGATTCCAACAGTCGAATTATTCTGGCTCAATTTTGTCATACGCATGCACAATGCCCTTTTTTTTACTTGGGTTGCCCTTCCTAAATGTCGCATTTGAATGTTTACCGCGGTTGATTTTCAGGCACAGAAAAAGAGAAGGTCCCACCCCCATCCACGTCACATAATGCCAAAAGCTGAATAACGCTTTTTAGCGGTGTTGTACATTATTAGAACTTATTTTTTGAGAGATCTTGTATATTTGTATATATAGCTACATTTAGTCTGCAGTACAAACACGCAGTAGCAGCAACAGCAGCGGCATTCGCAAATAGGTCAGATAACATGCTCGAGTGAATTCGGAAAATGGCTGACGGAGAGTCTTCAGATCTGTCACACAGTGACTATATCGACTCTGACAGCGAGCTAGAGGCTGGGCTGGGTGATCCGAAGAAATTTTCTGATGACGAAGTGAGCAGTGAACACGATAAAAACCTGTCTTCCGATCTCAAAGGCCAATCCTTTGAGGAAATCCTCGCTCTAAAAGATTGCCTTGGTCTAAGAACGTACAAAACTGCGATTGGACTTAGGGAGCTCGACCAGAAGAAGCGGAAAAAGGTATCTGCTTAATGACACCAATTTAAGGGTGCGAGTTTGTTTTAGGGGAGTAATAACTGCTGCTTTCTTAGATGTCCAGTGCATTTTATGTGAGCACAGGATATCCGTTTCTCGTCCCGAGTAAATTAAGTAGGCAGATTAAGCTAAGAAATTGGTTGAGAATCTACAGTTCAGCCTAAATCATACTCATTTCTATTGGATTCGCAGAGCCAGGATTTGGTAAACATTGTATGTTATGTTTTGAAAAATTAGAATAGCGCTCTGAGAACGCTATGCACAACATTTGCAGTTTGCATAATAACTAATACGCACAGTTACTGTCGTATTTTCATATTGTATTTAGGTATTCAAGCGTGAAAATAAAAACAGGCCTCGAGAAATTAGCTCGAAAAATCCTGTGACAGGAGTAAAAAATATTTTCAATGTGAAGAAAAAGCTTTGCGCCGATCCCAGGTTTGAGAGAGGTTTTGAAGAAGTTCAGCCAAGGAATGCCATTAAGGCTCAACACAAGGTCAAACAGAAACTCAGGGACTATGCCTTTATCGACAAAATCAGGTGGGGTGACATTTGGAGAGAAGTTTTTTTACCGCAATTAATGGCTGCTATATGCCTATATCATTCTGCTGTGTTAATAATATGCAGTACCTTCAACTCTTCTGGCCATATGTGTAGTAATACAGTAGTCGATACAATCAAATTTCCTAGGGATACGAATCTCTGTTACGCAGACGTATATATCGTACATGATGTAATCGAAATAGCCATGTGCGTATTACTTTTAGTACATGGAAAGGTGAACAGTATCTTGATATTTTTTTTAAACAATATTTTGTTTGTTTTAGCTTTTATTGACCCCTGTCGATTGTGTTATCTAAACTTTCAGGGAAAATGAGGTTCGACAAATCGAGAGAAGTTTGGCTGAGGGTCAGCTAGACGACGCGGAAGCTTTCAATGCCCGAAAAATCTTGCAGAAAGCAAAATCCCGAGAGGTTTCGAGACATCAAGAAGCTATGCGAAAAGAGATGAATGACAGGTATACAAAATTTTTGAAAGACGCTAGAAACGCTGGTGAGAAAATCAGATATATGACGAAAAAGGACAAGAAGCAAGTTGAACTCGCTATTAAGTTTAACGAGCTCAAGAAATCGGGCAAACTCGAAAAATATCTGGAGAAAAAGCGCAAAAAAAATGCTGCCAGATCTAGGAAGAAGATGCACAATAAACCTGTGTAGTGCATCATTTAAATAGATCGTTTTGATGTTGACAAGACGTGAATTGATGTCATCGTAAATGCTGTTTATGTCTATGATATTATAGTTATCAGTATGTAAGAGAAAACTAAATGACTTTATGAGCATTGTATGTTCCCAGGTATGAATGGAATGAGCTAGTTTTGGCTGGCTCGTAACACAGCTTTCGAAGCATTCAGATCCTAAAGCACGTAGTAAGCACAAAAAGCTTAGTTTGATAAATTTGAATTACTTTATTTTTCGCAAACCCAATAAAGAGGTGTCTTCATTCTACTGATGCTTACAGAAAAGTAAAGCATAAAGGTAAGATAGATCTAAAGGCAATACAAGCCCGTGGTCTACGAAAATAGACGAATGTTGTCGTCAAGTGTCTAACGGCATTATTCAAACTAAAGTTGCGACCCGTTTTTATTATCTAAGGATAAGTGTTTGTAGGAATGGTTTTAACCGAAGTACTTTCCCAAGAAAGTTATTGTAAAATTCTGTTCTACAAAGCAGTTCCTCCTCAAAAAATGACGCTTATTATTATGAATTACTTACGCGTTAGAGAACTTTTAAATATAATGGTCTTAAGAGTAGAAGGGTTTCTTTGCTCATAAGGTGCAGCAGCTCGGTGCAGTGCTGAAGGAGCGCAAACAAACTAGCGAGAGAAGAAGCGATAAAACAATACGCAACAAAGGGCAGTAACATTTGCAGAAACAGATATTAGTCAGCAAAAACATCATTGACTTGCAAACATCGGTCCTCCAATATAAGTTTGTAACACTAGAGAAAGGTATCTAAATTGAGATGCAATAGCCACGAGAATGTTTAGTACGATCATTCATCGAATTTTCCTTAGTTTTTTTTTCAAATCCTTAGAATAGCTCAGTGCTTCTACTTTGTTAACGACCTACTCTGTTAGGGAACGGCCCCCAGCTTTTCTAGCAAAACTGAAATCCCTTTGAGTTTCGTTACTAAGTTAGACTAGGAATAAATTAGTTTAAATGACATTTAAATGAAACAAGCCTTTTCAGGAGTTGTGCAGCTCGCTTCTTATTGCCAAAATATTAAATAAGAATTCATCGACTTTCTATTGGTTTTGACAAAATTTAAATTCAGCTTAGAAAACAGTAAGGTTATAACTGCTTTGCAATACGTTTCTCTACGTGCGCCATATATTAGACCTTCAAATATTCGTGCAGTTTTTCGCATAAACCTTGCTCCTTCGTTTGCGCATAGTTAACTGTAATGTACTTGTGGAAGGATCCTTACTTTATGAACTTATTATAGTAGTTCGGTTCAGGTTACACTATATTATTTAAATGCTACATCATACAATATATTAACCTTGTATGATGTGTGAAATGAGCATAACAAAAAAATCTTGGAATCTTGTAACCTTCCAAGGTTTTTTTTTGTTATGCCGAAAAGCTTGATAAAGTGGGATTCACCCCCCCCCCCCCCAAGTATGTCATTTGTTGTTGTTTATCAAGTGTCGCATCAACCATGGTTCCTATGCGAAGAAATAACCAGCCAGCATCTCGTAACGTGTCCTGCATGGGCGGTCTTACTAAGCAAAGATCGAGACTGGAGCTAGTTTGCCCATAGTAGTTAAGCTCTATGTTCAGCTGTTTGAAGTTGCGTGGAACTAGCATAAATCAAAGATAAAATTATTAAACTAAAATAATAGATTTGCCAGAGAATTAGAATCGGGCACGCTGCCGAAAGCAAGTTTCGCTTATTAGGGACATGATACAGATATGCTTTTAAAAAGTTGTTGAATTATGAAAATTAATTTGCTTCGAGGAGCATAAAGCGGCTTGAGATAATCTATGTCTTTATCTTGATGTTTTTCTTTTGTATTTTATAATAATATCTGTAGGAGACAATGTGAAAATAAACCAAGCATCGCATGCTGCTTAATTTGGCTTGTTCTTTTAACGGATTCAATTTAGGTTAAGGAATTGCCGAATTACTTAGCCAAGCTTAATTCAAGTGATTTAATTAGTTAGATATGAGTAAACTATCCTCAAACATAATTAATTTTCAGTTGTACCTACAATTAAATCCGGCTCGTCTGAGTAGAGAATATCCATTTTACCCATTGTATTTGTTTAAATTGCTACAACGGATTAGAGAGCTGAGCCGTCCCGCAATAATATTCAATATTATCTACAAAAATGGCTATCGTGTTACCAAAAAATAACTATTTTTTTATTAGTAAAATGGAGAAATGCTTTATAAACACTAAACCATGAATGTATACGAATCGCGTTGATTGATTTAGAATATTAGTATTTCTCAGTGATTTGGCCAATATTGGCCAAATATGTGATTTTAGAGATATGTTAATGTTGGCTGTGGTTAAGCTTTTATGCAAATTTCATGCATAGGAACTTAACCACTTAATGCAATGAAACTTTTCGAGCGAACGATGTTGTATAACATTGGGCGCACATTTGCGGAGGCTTTGCCTAAAGTATATGAGCTATATTATCATTGATTCCACAGACTAATTATATGCTACAATCTTCGAGAAGACTTTTCTGTCAGATGCATTGATGAGTTACTGAGAAACTCTATAATAGATTTTTGCTGACGTTATACGTAATTGAATGAACACAATAGAGGTTAAATGGAGAAACAAATTAAGCTTATCATGGGGTAGTCCAACCAGTCGTTGCTTCTGTATTAAGTTGTCGTGCTGACGTAAACAACCTCGATTCTTTCGTTAGCTTCAAAATCGTATGTTAGTCTCTTCTTTACAATTTGGCTCTTTTTAGGGGAAGTATTTTAGTATGCAAAAAGCTCGCGTAGAGCTTCATCCCATAAAAACATGATTGAGAATCATAATGCACTAATGATTTTTAGGCTTCTGCCAGTGGGTGCTCCAGACTTACTCTTAGAACATAAGCATTTTTATATTTTATTGATGCTTCGTTCAGAGAAATTGGTTACCAAAGGTACTGCGACGCATAGCGTTGCATGGTAGCTGGGGGTTATTTCACAACACCTAGTATAAACGTACGTAGGGTCTAGCAAATGAAAATCAAGTGTACAACATAGGATGTGGTCCAAATCCATGTACTGCAAAGCGCGTAACTTCGTGTAGGTTACTTCTGTTCGTCTCTCTCCAGGCTTCATTAGCCATCGCTTGCGCCTTGAAAAGTCGGAATCGATCTCCGCCACCTTCTTCTTTCATGCATTAATAAGCTCCAATTAGGGAGGGATCGTGGGAGGTTTAAATCTGCATCTCAGATCCTGTACAAATAAGGGTGTGTCTGGTAGAAGATACAGGTGTCTGCTTATCGACGAACAACGCAGCCCCACGACATCCTTTTAGTACAGAGTAATTTTTTGTCAATAATTGCGCTAACGAACTGCGTTTGTACATTCGCTCAATTCCGTAGCAAGCTAATGAAGCCACGTTCATTTCGAACATAGACAATATTATTCATGATTGAAGTCTAGAAAGAGTTTGTGTACTGAGACCTAGTATCATCATTCGTTATACCCTGTCCGTTATGTGCTTTACATGAAGTTAGGAACTTAAAGCTGTACACGGATCATGTCAGTAGCAGTGAGACGGCCTCTACGGAGAAGCCGCCGTTTTCTCCGTATTGATCACCAGCTCTCTCCTATCCACGTTTAATGAAAGTCTTTTGGGAGCACGCTAAACATGAAACTAACCGTTTCTAAAGATGATAAAATCACAATGCAGCATTTTTGTGCATTTTGCTGCATCTTGGATCCCGAGGGGCAGATAATTCGGCAGCTAAAAGAAAAGCAGTGGATTAAAACAGTTATCCTATGCTAGCTCAACTGATTGGATGAATGCCTCGAGTGAGGCCATTTTATTATCTATACTAATCGAGTTTTCTTGTGGAATCACTCTGACCAGACACATGTTCTGATGGGTTCCATACCGTAGAAGCTTTATTAAATTTACTAGATCAAACGCCGATTTAATACGAACACAACGTAAAGCTCCTGTTTTAGTTGATGAGAGGTAAAGTGAACCTTCTGAAGTATTATATCACGTGCCGTAAGGGTATAGTGTCCTACACATAATCCGTACTTTTCAATCGGGAAACGAATAAGTTTCCAAAGACTTCATCAGACGCTATGTGATGAGATGCTGGTAGCAGTAGCTTTGTTTCACGATTGCTCTCCATGAAGATAGGCGTTGTGGGTTGCTTTTTCCTTAGAAGGACGCTTAAGGGAGCGTTCAATTCGATCGTTGACAGGTGTGCATGCTATAAGCAGGAACTGGGTACACTTACTCAACAAGGGAATATGTTAGCTACAAAACTGGAGCGTTCATTGCACTCCGCTTCTGCCGTATTGTTCGACCTAAAACGCAACACCGATAACAAGAATAGACCCGCCCTGAGCGCTTTGCACACGATAAATTGGTTATTCGTTCCGTATATCAGTGCACGACGGCACAGTCGGTGAGATGGTCTTCTACGTCGCGTATGTGCATCGGAAGTGTTCTATCAGCATGATTCCAATCTCTGTTTACGCAGCCATTGACATGGCTGCCTTCATGTTGATATCACTGACCTGCTTTGCTGTACCGCTAGGTACTGCTGAGGGATTGACTTGAGTTTTCGTTTTTATTAGCTTCTTATAAAATTATAGGGTGGCCAGAAATGCTTGTTTCTGACATTTTCAGACAATAATTGGAAAACGACAGGCGTTATCGATGCAGCACACGTAAGTTACTGACGATAACGGTACGTCGGTCGAAGTCTCCGTGTGTATTATACTAACTTCGTACGTTCACAGATTGCAATTTTGTTTTTTTTACAGGTATATGGCAAATTGAAGCTTGTTAAATATGAAATATTATTAACACAAAAGCATAAAATATGCAAGTGAAGTGGTCACATGTTAGGCTGTATTAATCAGTGCGGTCAACCTCTTATATGTTCCAGGTACATTCAACATACGCAGAGTATCTCGATAAGGCTTTAGGTGAATGCAAATTGGGAATTGAGCCGTGTCGACTAGTCACAGGGTTAACCTAAAAAAAGACAC